TCATTTTGTGTCCCAGCTCCTCATGTCATTTCCCCCAGAATATGAAATGGAGAAAATCCGGCAGAGATGGTGGGAGCCCCTCATAATGGGCACAGCGGGTGTACAGACCCGGGAAGTCAACACAGGGATGGAGGGAGCTCCTCATAATGGGGACAGCAGGTGTACAGACCCAGGAACTCAACAGAGGGATGGAGGGAGCTCCTCATAATGGGGACAGCAGGTGTACAGACCCAGGAACTCAACAGAGGGATGGAGGGAGCTCCTCATAATGGGGACAGCAGGTGTACAGACCCAGGAACTCAACAGAGGGATGGAGGGAGCTCCTCATAATGGGGACAGCAGGTGTACAGACCCAGGAACTCAACAGAGGGATGGAGGGAGCTCCTCATAATGGGGACAGCAGGTGTACAGACCCAGGAAGTCAACACAGGGATGGAGGGAGTTCCTCATAATGGGTACAGCAGGCGTACAGACCCGGGAACTGAGCACAGGGATGGTGGGCGCCCCTCATAATGGGCACAGCAGGTGTACAGACCCAGGAAGTCAACACAGGGATGGAGGGAGCTCCTCATAATGGGTACAGCAGGTGTACAGACCCGGGAACTCAGCACAGGGATGGTGGGAGCTCCTCATAATGGCACAGCAGGTGTACAGACCCAGGAAGTCAGCACAGGGATGGTGGGAGCCCCTCATAAATAATGAGCATAGCAGGAGTATAGACCCGGGAAGTCAGCACAGGGATGGTGAGAACCCCTTTATAATGGCCACAGCAGGTGTACAGACCCGGGAACTAAATGCAGGGATCTCACTAGAGTCCTCAAGAGATAGTAGTGACCTCCAGGTGGTGCGATCCTCGAGAATCTACCAAAAATTGTAAAATTGACATTTTGGGAAGACAGAGAGCTATTGGGTGACTTCCATGTTGTATCCTCCTCAATCTCTCTACAAAATTTCCAAGAAATAAGACAACGGCTGAGATGTCTATAAAATAACCCCAACTAGAGCAGGCACCGGCAGCAAAACCTTTCCGGGAGACCTGATAGGCGCTGGGTTGGAATGTTTTGGTCAATAGTCTTTTGCTCACCCAAGTCAGGTGGGTCCTTATGTACATACAAGCTTGTAGATCCCATTTCTGTCCCCCTGACCCAAATGCTCATTATGCTCCCTTCACAATGAATTGCTAATTAATGCATGAAAAATCATTATTTTATAATAGAATGTATATAATATGATTTTATATTTATTAGTAGTAGTATTATTTGTATTTTTATTATTATTATGTTAAAACTGAAAATAACTGTCATTTTTTTCAGTTATTTTCTCGCTATGGCTGAGTGCGCATACCCAGGGCTGTTGCCAAAGCCGTGTATTATGGGAACCGGTGTTGTACAAAGGCGAAGGTAGCGGAGGGCAGTTAGACAGAGTCAGGGAATCCTATGGTAAAAGTGGGGCTTTCCTTTAAGGCCTTGTTCACACCAAATGCAGACCAGATCCGGTCAGGTTTCTGCACACGCAGTGCAGTGGGTTGTGCCGCGTTATAGATGCGTTTTGGATGCGTTTTTGATGCGTTTAGGGCCAGTTTTGGTTAAAAAAAAAAATGTGTTTTTTTTTAAGTTTAACATGGGCTTTCAGGCACTTGCATGCGTTTTTGATGCGTTTAGGGCCAGTTTTGGTTAAAAAAAAAAAAACGGCCCTAAACGCATCAAAAACGCATGCAAGTGCCTGAAAGCTCATGTTAAACTTAAAAAAAAAAACGGCCCTAAACGCATCAAAAACGCATGCAAGTGCCTGAAAGCTCATGTTAAACTTAAAAAAAAAAACGGCCCTAAACGCATCAAAAACGCATGCAAGTGCCTGAAAGCTCATGTTAAACTTAAAAAAAAAAACGGCCCTAAACGCATCAAAAACGCATCCAAAACGCATCTATAACGCGGCTCAACCCACTGCACTGCGTGTGCAGAAACCTGACCGGACCTGGTCTGCATTTGGTGTGAACAAGCCCTTAATCAGGGCAGCAGACCACCGGGCCTCCAGCTGTGGTGGAACTCCAAATCCCATGAGGCATTGCAAGATTCTCACAGCCACAGACATGCCTCCCGGAGAGAGATGCATCATGGGATTCGTAGTCTCACCACAGCCGGAGGGCCGGAGGTTTGCGACCCCTGCTTTAAATACTCTGCACCTTTTCTCCATCAGGACAAGATGCCGTACTGCAGCGTCAACAACTGCCACAACCAAACAGGCAAAAACAAAATGCTGGAGGGCGTAGTCATGCACACATTCCCTAGAAAGCTCCACCGGATAAAACAATGGCTGCGCTGCATTGGTAGACATCGTATCCGGCAAGACGTGGAAGACCTGGACACTGTGGCGCAGCTCATACTGCACGGCGGTAACAACAGCTCGTTTCGCATCTGCTCCAGTCACTTTGCCCCGGAGGGCTACGTCTCAACAAAAGAGAAGAGGAGGTCCCTCCGACATGACGCCATGCCGACGGTGTTTACCGCCGACAATGAGAAACCAAATTGGTCCAACTTTCCAGCAGAGACAGCGGTCCAGCACAATAGCGCGAGCATGGTGCACGCCAGCACCTCCACAGACTGTCATGAAAACATGGAGGACAAGGGGGTTCAATGGCCAGAGTTTGAATTCAATGAAGGTGGAGAACCTTGGAAAATCCAGCATGACCATGTCTACCATACTCCAACCCCCGCCACCTCTTCTTCTCGGTCCGGGAAGGGCAGCTCAAAGCTAAAGATTATCGGCATGGACTTGGGTCCTTTGGATGACCAACCAGTTTCCTCCAAGTTTGATTCTGAATTGAAATCGTATGGTTTGGAGCTTGGCGCGGACAGAGATGGTTTTGACCGCAAATCCGTAGATGGTCATGAGGAATCAAGTGATCAGGTAAATCGTCAAAGCTTTATGGTTTTCTTCTAGGTTTTGGTCAACATCTCCAACCTGGAAAACTCACCCTCTGACTTTGAGGCACTGACCTGAAGCGAGTATGCAGGTAAGCACTTCTGACACTTCTTGGACTTCCTAATCCAGGGCTAGACAAATCCCAAGAGCCAAGAAGCCAACACTCCCTTAAAATTTACAGATGGCGCCCAACTTTTGAGCTTTTCTTGCTGTCGGTGGAGCTGGCTCCTAAAAAGATCCTGCTGCCTCCTGGGCTGGACAGACTGGCTCCTGAATTCCATACTGATTTCTCCACCTCTGTCTGAACCTGAATGTTTGTTCCTGGTCAGCAGCTTGGTAAGTAATGAAGCCAGAGGGTCAGCATAAGAGCCAAATAACAAGCATTTGTGGAATGAGACCAGCATTGTCAACTCCCATATTTTCATGTCAGGTTTACTTGAAATCATTTTGCTAAAGGTGACATTTACTCAAATGTTAACAGTCTGGGCTAGATAAGCGAAGAGCAATAGAAGGGCTGAAATAACCTCCCTGAATATACACAACTTTGAAATCCCTTCGGTGCCAGTCATGTGACCATAAAGCCTAGGCATTTGGCCATATGATATTTGCTGAAGGTAAAAGCTGCCGATCTGAGCTCTTCCCCTTCCTCAGAGATCACTTTATTTTTCATCTTCTTCAGTTGCACTTTAATTTTGGTGTAATAACTGAGGATTACATCACCATGCGCAGGGCTTTTATGATCACGCCTACAAGCTCCGGCATCCATTCTCAAAACGCCAGCATTATCCACCAAGAATGGAGGAGGACGAGAGTCACATGACTGAGATTGTATTAAACCTCGCCCTGGAGATCATCTACCTGCTGACTGGAGAGGTGAGGAGGATCACATGACATCACTCATCTCTATATTAATAAAACACAGACCTGACCGGAGAGGTGAGGAGGATTCTGGGAGGGTCACATGACATCACTCTTATCTCTATTAATAAAACACAGACCTGACCGGAGAGGTGAGGAGGATTCTGGGAGGTCACATGACATCACTCTTATCTCTATTAATAAAACACAGACCTGACCGGAGAGGTGAGGAGGATTCTGGGAGGTCACATGACATCACTCTTATCTCTATTAATAAAACACAGTCCTGACCGGAGAGGTGAGGAGGATTCTGGGAGGTCACATGACATCGCTCTTATCTCTATTAATAAAACACAGACCTGACCGGAGAGGTGAGGAGGATTCTGGGAGGTCACATGACATCACTCTTATCTCTATTAATAAAACACAGACCTGACCGGAGAGGTGAGGAGGATTCTGGGAGATCACATGACATCACTCATCTCTATTAATAAAACACAGACCTGACCGGAGAGGTGAGGAGGATTCTGGGAGGTCACATGACATCACTCTTATCTCTATTAATAAAACACAGACCTGACCGGAGAGGTGAGGAGGATTCTGGGAGGTCACATGACATAATTTTTATCTCTATTAATAACACACAGACCTGACTGGAGAGGTGAGAAGGATTCTGGGAGGTCACATGACATCACTCTTATATCTATTCATAAAACACAGACCTGAGCAGATAGCCGAGGAGATTTCTGGGAGGGTCACATGACATCACTTATTTTTATTAATATAATAGTAAACCATAGACCTTGCTGTAGAGGTGAGGAGGATTCTGAGAGGGTCACCATTAAACATTTTTGCTGTAAAGCGTTACAAGGCCATGTAACTAATTAATTTTGTCTTTTCAAAATTTGCATACTGTGTTTAAAGAAATCTGGTGAGCGACTGGCACCCAATTTATGTCCCCGTGTTTCCAAAAGATGGAGCAGAAACCATGATAAGAAGATTCTAGAAGTCACCCAGAAGATCATTGAGCTGCTGACAGGAGAGGTGAGCGGTGCCGGGAATTCTGGGACATGATCCAGGAACAGACAAGGGATGTGTCTGGATGGTGACTGTATCATTGTGTGTGTCAGGTTCCTATAAGGTGTCAGGATGTCTCTGTCTATTTCTCCATGGAGGAGTGGGAGTATCTAGAAGGACACAAGGATCTCTACAAGGACGTCATGGTGGAGAATCAGAGATCCCTCAATTCTTTTGGTAAGTGTAAGTATGATCAACGTTTATTTTTTCTCATTTTGGTGTAGGATGTTCTATCGTAGCTGTTTCCTGGATCTCAACCCAAAGTTGTACTGTTTTTGTTCCATGTGGAACACCATTACTTTAAAACCGGTGCAAAATCATTTGAAGGTTGTTAGAAGCTGGAAACCTTATCTGAAATGAATCTTTTCAAGATTTATTGAGCTTCATTGGCCTGGTGTTCAGTGTGGCCCTTCATACCTTTTTCCTAATATGGCTGAAGTTTGTTGACACCTGACATTCCAATCCATAACCTTGGGCATTAATATGAAGTTGGGCCCACCTTTGCAGCTATGATGGCCTCCCCTTCTCTAGGAAAGCTTTCCCCAAGATTTTAGAGTATATCTGTGGAAATTTGGGCCCATTTAACCAAAATAGAATTTGTACAGTCAGCTTCTGATGCTGGTCAAGAAGCCCTGTTAAGCAATCAACATTCCAGTTCATCCCAAAGGTGTTACTGGAGTAGTGTATCTACTCCCGTCATACCCAGGGCCAGCTTGGATGGAATCCAGTTAGCACTAGGGGTGTATTCACCGCAAGGCAGCAAAGGCATTTGCCTTCAGCGGCACTTTCCAGGGGGGCAGCCCCCAAAACAGCCTCGGCTGCCTAATCAAGCACACTAGACGGCCGCCTAATCATAGAGCTCCCGCTGGAGGAGGAGTCGGGGCCCAGCAGCGCCAGTCCGGCGGCGAAGGTGGAGGAGGCCGGAGCCCAGCAGTGTCGCTCCAGTGGCTGAGGTGCAGGTAAGAGGAGCGCACATGTGTAGAGAAAGGGACCCTGCTTAGCCCACCTGAGACCCTGCTTTGCCCACCATAGATCCAGCGCAGTGCACCTGAGAGTCTCTGTACAGGATCTATGATGGGCTGTGCAGGGTCGGTAGTAGGGTCTGTAGTGCCTCAGGTGGGGTCTGCTGGATCTATAGTGGGCTTTGCTGGGTCTATGGTGGGCTGTATGGAGTCTCAGGTGGGCTCTGCAAGATCAATGGTGGGCTTTGTCAGGGTCTCAGGTGGACTGTGCAGTATCTGTGGTGGGCTCTGCAGGGTCACTCTCAGGTGGGCTGTGTGGGGTCCCTGGTGGGCTCTGCAGGGTCTATGGTGGGCTGAGACCCTGCAGATCCCACCATAGATCCTGCACAGCCAACCTGAGACCCTAGCTTCCCGGCTACACTGTAAAAGCTATATCCAGCGACTGAAAGGTTACGCAAAATGTCTCAAACTGGAAGCGGTGGGGCAAATTTAGATGGGAAGGGGGGGGGGGGGGGGGGGGGGTTTTTGTTGGGGGA